TATATATATATAATATAATATATATACACACACACACACACACACACACACACACACACACACACACACACACACACACACACACACACACACACACACACTCACACACACACACACTCACACACACACACACATAGAGAACTTTAAAAATTAAAATAATTAATATACTAACTGCCGTGAACTATAATGCGGAATAAGGAATGACATTTCACCATAATACTGGAATTCTTGGGTATCCTGGCTTGCACCCGATCCTGATCGCCCTTGCTCATAGTATTTTTTATGTTGACGTGACCACATAGCCCTTAGGCTGTCCCATCTTTTTTGAGCTTGATCACCTAATATAAAGGCAAAATAAATAATAATAACGTTTAAATTGGTATCAATATTTTCTTAAAATATTGTAATTACCTGTTTTTTTGTTGTTTAAGGCGGCACCTATTTGAGCCCATACTTCTTTTTTATCGACAGTCTTAAACTCTCTCATTTTTTTATTATACAGGCAACAATTAACTTCAACAAGCTTGATGAGCTCCATATCATCCATTTCTTCGAAATGTATAGATTCCATTTTCAACACTTCGATTAATTACTTCGATCTCGATAACACGACAGTTTTTAGGTTATACGAGGTCGGTTTTCTCGTTAAATGGAAGACATATTGCTTTTTAATTGGTCAGTCATAATGCAATGTAATTCATAAATCGGAAGAGATGGAATTTGGCCATCTCCACTCAGTCACTGACTACTGACTTATTATTGTCTTATGACGCACTACTAACTCGCTACAACTAGCTTCTGACTTCTGATTTATTACTAATAGCTTATTGTAGAAAGCCCAATATAAATTATCACTGAAAATTTTCGTCAAATGTATCTTTTTTGTAATTATTCGTATATGCATAATAATGTAATATTTTAGATGAATTTTATATGAAGTAAAAGTTTAGATAAAAAGTAATATATATTATTCTTTAAAATTTTCATAATTAAGATGATTGGTCCGATCCGCTAAGCATTATGACCCCGCTTCCCTACCCACGATATCTCAAAATTCATTGTTCCGATCATTCTCAAATTTTACACACATCTTTAGCACATGTGTGGCTATAGCTGGTACCAGAATCTTTTTAAAATATGGTTTTTTGCAAATTTTACAACACTTTAAAGTTGAAAAAAAGTCGCGAAATTCGATACCTTACTTTTAAAAGCGCACAACTTTCGTAAATTTTAACATTTTTTTAAATTTTGGTTGGAGCGAGAGCCAAACTCTTATATTTTAAGAATCTTTTTGGATTTTTTATTTCAGATCACTATAACGGCCGAAATCATGGGTACCGTTTATCACTTTTTTTTTAATGGGTTAGAAAAATCACATGTACCGCACTTCTTTATTTATATTTTGAAATAAAAAAATTTTGAAAGACACTTGAAAGGTGCACTAATATGTAGGAAAAATCCCCATTTTAAAAAATTTCGTAGCTTTCCCACAAAAAAATCGCAAAGATAACCTAAAAATCGGGCCTCTAGACTAGAATTCCCCCTTAAACACCCATTATTACTGACTTTATTTACAGAGTATGTTCTTAAGTCTATTATTTTCCCAGGTGGGATCGGTTTACACGCTGCAGAACCCGCCATGTGATCCGATTTGAGTTCTCTGTCTAAGCATACAGGACAACTGATCTTATTCCTGCATACAGAGGCTTTATGATTTAAGTCTTCGCACTTATAACAGTAAGATCTTCTGTTTTTAGTTTCTAGACATCTTTGGAGCGTATGGCCAGCCGCCAGACACCAGAAACATTGCAGCGGTCTGGGATCAACTGGCTCCACTCTTACTGTTGTTCATCTTATATTAATCTTACCGGCCTCCAAAATACCTACCGCAGCTGAGATTGAGCACTGTACGTATGCTGCACCCAAGCCTCCACGGACAAATCTTATTGGGCTGCAGGAGACATTGTCCAACGAACATCCGCCTATATCCGCAAGGATTTTGCAGATTTCCGAGGTTGTTACGGAATCGTCCAACCCCGTCAATCTCAACTGCGATCTTTTGATCGGTTTTCGAAATTTAACACCTTTTATATCTTTAAATGTTTGTTGCAGACTAATTAGTAGGATATCCGCTTAGGTTTCAGAGTCTTCGCCCGGGATCTCGATCAAAATACCGCCCGTAACAGTTCTTTTAATTTTTGTGTTTGTTATGCTTAAATTCGACAGAGATATTTTTAAAATGTGGAACGCTTCACGATTTTGCGTGTCATCCTTGCGCAGGGGCCATGCTAATCTTCTCTGTATCGTTCCAATTTTAGTATATGTACTGCCGAAGCAAGTACAAAAGGGAGGGTGCCCGAAGGCAGTTTCCCTGAAGGTTTAATGGTAAACCCACAACCTTGAGTGACGACAGAGTCGTCCCAATCCTGAGGAGTTTTTCTAATTATGAGAACTCCCGTGAAACCCAGGTTTTTTCACAGAGTTTTCTTTTTCCGGGACGTTTTGTTTTCCCTTCTCGTTTTCCCAGGTCGTTACTCCGGTCGTCGGGCGCCATAGGCTGCGTAGCTACCTTCGCTACATGTACCGGGTTGTCCACTCCTGGAGGCAACTTGTTAGGGGAGCCGCCCTCACACTCCCGGACGATCTTTGTTAAGCCTGAATCCCGGCCAGCTGGTTATTTCCATTTAAGATTTTTCATCAGGAGGTATTTCAAACCCCGGTTTTTGTGACAAGGTTTTCCTTCCTCGGCTTTTTAGGGCATGCAGGGCTGGTGCAATCTGTAGAGGCCTATTTTGAGGTTTTCCCCCTCAGTTTTTATACAGAGTTGTACTTCTCTGGCCAAATTTTAGGTCATAAGGTAAAGTGCAAGCCTCAGAGCCTTTTTTGGGTATGGCGCCCCAAGTTTTTATAACGACGTTAAGCTTCTCCGGGTGTGCTCTTAGACCCCGCATCTCCACGAGTGGATTTGCGGGGAGCCCCGGCACTACGACAAGGTGGCACACCGTCGCCAGGGATCGAACTTTATCCTAGTCGGGCCGGAAGAATTAACTTTTATTATTAACAAGTGATAACAAACAAAGTCGTCGATAGGACGTAACCGTCCTATCGTTTAAATTAATGCAAGTAAAAGACTTTTCGAGACGTTTTATTTTAAAGAAATTACACAAAGTCGAATCGAAGTCGAGAGAAACTAAAGTTTTTTACAGTAGATAATACGTAAACAATCAATATCGACATAATCTTCAAAACCCTACTTCTACGGCGCAACCTGATTTGAATTATATCAAATTTTATCAATACCAAATAAACATTAGGACATTCTTTGTACGCCCTATGTATATACGTATATGTATATTGTATATTCTATGTATATACAAAGAATGTGAAAAGTATATAAAGCGCATATCCTATGTATGTGAAATAATTACCACATGTATGTACATAGGATGTCCACAGTACATACATAAGTATATTCAAAAGATATGCAATGTATATTCGTGGTATATACATGGGGTATATTCCGAGGATGTGCAATACACATTTGTGGCATGTACATGAGGTACATTCTATGTATGTGTACATAGTATATACAGTACGTTTTTTTTCTACATTATGGATATTTCATGTATATAGGATATTGAATGTTTACTGGGTAATAAACAATTTTCATTTATTCGGATATTTATCTACCTCATTTTTGAACAATCAGTTTATCTAAATTCCCTGTGTTGGGATTTAGCTATTAAACTGATAGAAAAAGTTATTACATCTTCAATATTATTACCCGCCTTTTGCAAGTTTTATATAATTCTCATGATTAAAACTTAAATACGAAATAGATAGCGCATAATGCGTCACACAGCGGCAAGCGAACAAACTAATGACTGATTCTATGTATATCCATACGATATCCTATGTATATCCATAAATGTACCTATATCAGCGAATATCATATATATGTACGTTACATGTATTATATACACATGGAATGTACACGAGGTATATTCTATGTATGTACAGGCAGCGATCTCGTTCAAATATACATTCTATGTATATCCATAAATGTACCTACATCAGCGTATATCGTATATATGTATGTTACATGCAGGGTTGGGAAGTAACGCGTTACTTGTAACGCCGTTACCGTTACAATTACTTTTTTTCGGTAACTGTAACGGTAACGGCGTTACAATTTTTTTTGTAACAAAAAAAGTAACTTTGTTACATTTTCCGGTAACGAGTAACGAATTTAACAGTTATTTTTATCGTCACATTTTTCAAATTTACTCTATATATCTACGAATTTATAGAAAAACTAATAATAAGAAAAGTTTTTAATTTATATTTACAGCATCTAAAAATTTTTAAAAAAGCTGGTTTACAACTTATTAAAAATTTTTCTTATTTAAAATATCTTATTATCAAAATTATTACTTTTATTATATATTATTAAAATTATTACACTTTATATTAATAGTGATATCATTATTAAAATTATATCATTTTTGTTTTTTTAATGAAAAATAATGTTTAAAGTGTTTAAAAATTTTTAATGTTTACTGTAAATTTGTAGTGTTTAATTTAATCTTGTATTAGAAAAATTGTGCATAAAATTTGTATTATACAAGATGTCCCATTTTAAATTACGCACCTGAATATCTCGTCAAAGGAGCTACCAATCCGAAAATAACCTTTACAAAAGTTGTTGGGTTCGGAGGACGACATCAAATGGTGATTTTCAATTTTACCTTGACCTTGATCTTCAAGGTTATTTAAAGGTCAAATCGAATTTTTTAAATAGAAACCCCTATTTTTGATTCCAAAATCTAATAGCTGGTGTCAAGAGCTTTTCAAAACACTATAATGAAGTTATTTTTTATTAAATACTTTTCGAGTTATGAGGCTTGTAAATTACAGTATTTTGACATAAAATATAAAATATCTTGTAAAACATTCAGTTTTTGAGAATGTTAACTTAATACTTTTATGCCCAAAATAATGAGACAAATGAATTGATATAAAGAAAACACATTGGTTTTAAAAAAAAATATGCAGTTGCATGTTGCAAATTACATATTTTTTCTTGAAAGCAACTATGTGTTTTCTTTATAATGTTTTTTCCCCTTGGCACGGGGTTACACGCAGCAGAGGTGTCCGTCCGAGGTGGATAGGGCCCTCTGCTGCTATAATTGTGGCGAGGAGGAGCACAAAGGGGGGGGGGCGTGCAAGCGCCCCGCCCGGTGCCCTATTTGCATGGTGGCGGGGAATAAGGCGGACCACAGGACGGGGTCGGAAAATTGTCTTTCGGTCCCCTCTGCGCTTCCGGGCTCCCCCACCAAAGCGAGGTCAGCTCCTCCCTCAAGGACCAGTGAGGTCACCACGCGCTTAAGCGTGGTCCTCACAGACATCGGGGGAGTAGAGCCTGCGCGGGTGGAGTCTCCCGAGCTGGGCCCTGGTAGAGCCAGCTCGAGGGAGACCATCAGGGTCACGAGGGCGCAGACCTCAAGAACCCTCGCCAAAAAACGCCTTAGGGGGAGTGAGGGGGAGAAGGTGAGCCCTCCCCTCCAGCCCCAAAAGGTGCGCCCTCGCCTCCAGCCCCAAAAAGTGCGGGCCCTCTTCGCTCCTCGATTACCCTCGGATAAACCGGGCCCGAGGAGCAGGAAAAGGGAGGGAGGGTTCCCTACGGGCGGGGCAGCATCCGACCACCCCCCCTCGGATTGAGGGGGATACTGGTCGCTGTCCACCCGTAGGCATGATCATCGGGCCGCGGCCCGAAAGGTTATTACGCGGAGGGTAGTGGGGGGGGGGG